ATATATATATATATATTAATTTATGTGAGGAATTTAATTTTGTAATCACTTATGTAGTTATTAATTATTATTATTTTTATAAATAAACTCTAGATAACTTGTTCAAAGGCCTTCAGACTCAAACACTACATATTACCCTCTAAAAAACAGAGTTATTGTATTAGTAGGACTTGATCTCATGTTTTTATGAAGTGAGGCCAGTTCTTACCCACTAAATCAACTTTTTTGTTGGCGTAATTCTTAATATTATATTTTTGTTGTTACGCTCCCATTCTATATATAGAATAATAAAAATAGAACTGGGATATCATTTTGATTAGGAGTTGATTGATCAGGAGACAAATTAGGCTAAAAGATACGATACATTTTTTGTGTTCTTAGTCTTAACTCTTGACCGATTTCATACTTTCTTTTTTGTTGGAAGCTCATCCGCTTCTCCAACTGCAATGGTCTGTTAATGGAAAGTTAGAAACTTAGAAACAAATCAGCAATACCTTTCTTGAGGGAATGGAGTGGTGCATTAACTTGCGAGCTATGCACATAGCCTTCCATCACATTAGAATTAAAAGAAAATTAGTTAGCATTTAGCAATTGAAGACAAAAACATCATTATATACCCAAAACATCATTATTTACCCTGCTTGACTTCTTGTTGAACTTGTTTGAATATAAGTTACAAGTATTTTTGAAGACTACACTTTTGAGAAAAATTCTTTATTTTCAATAGAAAAACTCTCCAAAAAAATTTTCTAAGCTTATATTCAAATAGACTAGTTGTATGATATTCATTCCTACACCTTGGCAAATGATAAGGATGCCCTTCAATGTACTATGCATCTGATGCTGACTTTGCCTTGAAATTTTCCTTCCATGTCTTCCAAGCCTTTCTGACTTCATCCAACTCAACATCTGGAATGCCTGAATACCTATCCAAATTCTCAATCCATTTTTCCCACGGAGACTTTGACGAGTCTAGGAACTTTGACACTTCAGGCAACACAACAGACGTGTAGAACTCGTCAACTGCATCGAGAATTTGCTCTGATTCAACCATAGACACCATTTCTTGCCGTGTAAAGCTTCCAGGTCTTGATCTCATTTTGAAAGCATTTCCCCTCAGAATCAGAACTTCTGGCGGGGCGAGCGGGAGGACGATCCTTGAAAACTTGTTGAGTGACAACAAAATGATGTCTCTTGGGATTAACTTGCGCTTTACAGCCACGGCAGTCCCAACCATTTTGCGTATCTGATGAGTCATTCAGTCAGTGTGATTGTGTGAATATGGTTAATGTCAAATAATGAGTGCACTCAACTAGTAGAACCAAGAAATGCATAAAGCTATGATTTGTTATTTGTACAGAAAAGCAGCTAAAGTACAGACCTTTACAGGGTTTATATATTAAGAACATGTTTGGATATCAATTCAGAAGTACTTTTCAGAGCTTTTCTACAGGAAAAAAACTCTTTATTTTCAATAAAGAAACTCTCAAAAATGTTTTTAAACTTATATTCAAACAAACTCTAAGAAAAATAATAGTTTAGATGTCAATGTACAACAGGTCATCAGAATATTAATTAATCATGTGAAAAGAAGCGTATGAATGCAACAAATATACTGCAGTAGATGCCACGTTAAGAAACACCTGTGCTGTTATTATAGTCAGATCATCATAAGAGTTTGACCTCTTGAGTTTCTGTTATTATAGTCAAACTATTTAATGATGTGACAAAACATAGTTAGATGATAATGTACTTAAGTTTTGAATTAACATAACAGTAGGTCAAATTAAACTCTTCGGAGTTAAATCATCTAAGTAAGACTTACTTGATGTAACATGAAGGAGTCTCCCCATATATGGACCTCAACATAATCGTAACCAAGAGATGTTTCCAACTTCCCACAAGAACAATGAAAAACCTTTCTGAAATGGGAAGCATTTAATCTATCTGCTTCATCTGGTTCATATAGCCATCTTGCACGAACTACTAAACTAGAGTTTTGACTACTCAAGCCATTGGATTCAGTAGTCTCTGGAGGCTTGTGACTCTCTTCCTCGTCACTTACAGTGGCTGGTCTACCACTCACAAAATCATCATCATCATCAATTTCCTCACTCTCTGGCTCACAAGTTGATGCCAAACTAGCTGATCCTATACTGTCTGACATGCCATCATTTCCAGATGATTGCCTTACAGGGTATTTTTTCCTGTACTTGGACCTAACAGTATAATTATGGAAAGGATGCTCACCCTGCAATAATAAAAATAGGGCAAATAGAGTTAGAACCAGCACTTGATAGAAGTTGTATATAAAGGGAGTAGTGTCCAGCCTGATGATGATAACAGCTACAATATTTATTCAATATTTAATATTTAATTTCTCAATTCATGGGTTTAATGAGACAACAGAGTGATATGTAAGTAACAGAAATGTAAAATGAGCCAATGGGCTAGTAGAGAACGATCAGCCTAGACATGCAAGAGGTCAAGGTTTGAACCTTCATATCATTATTATGCACATTTTATACATCTTGCAGGAAATAAACATGCTTAACATGTTCATTATTTGGAAAGAAAAAACAAACTTAATCAGCACATAAATTTAAAGAGCCACATTCAGTCAGGAACATGCTTACAAGAGTCTACTACACTTGCATGAAGATGAGATGTAAACTATAGAATTCTTTTCAGGAAAGGCCACAAATTTTTACCATAATCAGTTCGGAGAGATCACTGCCTTAACTAAGGTTTATCACAACTAAATTAAATTTGTAAAGTATATACAATAAAAATGAATAATTCCACAACAACAACTAAACAAAATACGAAAATGAGTATACCTCAAAAACATTAAGTATACTGTTGAACTCTGAAATATGAAAATCAATTTCATCCTCGCTAAAATGACTCTGGATTCCTATTATATCAGCAGGGAGGAGATAAGAATATTTCCGCAAATTGCACTCTCTTCTAGGGTCGAATCTCCTAAAACAAGCCAAAACTATGAAGTTATAAATAACAGTAAAAGAGCATTAATTAAAAATCAAGGAACACTTTCAATTTATGACCTGTCTGATTCCAGAAATATCATTAGTCATAACCAATAGTATCAATGAATATATTCTCTCTCCTTTTTTTTTCCCTTTTTTTTCTAGTGCATGCGTTTTTGTGCTTACTGCATAATCCCATGGATCAGCACTATTCCCACTTAGTGAGGAAAAAGCTTTGTTATAATCCCATGGATGACATTTTTATTCTGAACATTTTCATACTTACATTACACATACAGGCCATTGTATAACACTAGCACGGCATGTGAAAAAATTAGGGCTTTTAGTTTACAAACTGATTGGATGTAGTCATACTCATAGATTTGTCGCAGACAGTAACGAACAACAATACATACTGGGCTCATATATAAGTAAGAGTTCATGGATCCTTACAGATCCTAGTTGAGTACTCCATTCTAAATTAATTTTGCCACATTATCAATTTCCTTTGTGACAAATGACAGGGTAGCATTCCTTATCAAATATCTATTACTAATAAGAATAGACAAACAATAAGACACTAAAAGAAAATACTCAATCTATAAGAGTACATGTATGCATTATCACTCAATAGTAAAGACATGAGAGGAGAAATTCAATTATAAAATAACCTTAAGAAATCTAGCATTATAATTTATACATAACCAAAAAGAGACTATCTTACTTCGTTGAAGGCAATATGCTAAAAACCCTGATAGTACTAGGAAGATAAGAGTTAATGCGGTTTGCAAGTGCAATGCCATTGTCGTCATCTTTCCATGCATTCTCAGGGATTTCCATCTTAAAGGCTATCATTGTTGCCAGAGAGTGGACCTAGCACAAGCACATCATAGATGTGGCAAGAAATTAAGAAATAAAAACAAAATAACAACAACCAATTCATAAAGGGAATAACAAGAAGATTACTCCTTTATCAGTCCTGCTACTTCTGCCCCATTTCACTTTGTTCAAGTCCCCAAAATTACTATCACGCATGCCACCGGCCTTGAATATCGCCGTTTCCAGTTCCTTCTCGACAGCTACATCATGTCAAAATTATAATGCTTTAGCCACACTCAATTGATTCACACCAGCCAGGCTGATTTAAGTGTATGCCAGCAGTCAGAGTTTAGATTAAACTATGTTCACTTGGTAAGAGAACATAATAACTTAAAGAAAAATGTTAGCCACACTCACCTTAACACTCTCTATTATTGGTTGACAAAAAATCACAAATTTTGGTAGGTTTTACCTCTAAATCAAGAAAAATCCTTATTAGATCACAACACCACATGAATCCAAATTCCAAACCAAAACATTAGCCAACATTACAGAACTATATGTCTAACTCCATCTTCATCATTTCAAACAAAACAAAAATTCTAACAGTAATTTTCTACCATTATCAAAAAGATAATAGAGAAAAATGGTCTTACTGGATAACCTATGTTCATCCCGTTGCATCTGCAGACCTGCAAACAACCATGGGGAATCAAATTAGCCCGAGATTTCAAAAAATTTGAAAGTAGAAAGAAAAGGGTTGGGAGGGTGACCTCTAAAATCGGTTCCAACATATCCAACTCTCATTACGACCTTTTTCTTGAGGAAAGGTTCCCACTTGTGGAGGGAGGGAGAAGGGGTTGGAAGGGAGTGAGTGGAAGCACATAAGCACTTGAAGAGCGTTGGAGGCAGAAGCAGTGAAGAAGAAGAAGAAGAGAATAGCATTGCCACCAAAGTGGGTATTCTGTTTTCTCTTACACGAGTTGGAATTGAAAGAAAGTGAGGCGAAGAAGAAACGCAGTTAGTTACCATCTTCAACTCTATCTCTTATGCAATGCCAATGCCAACAGTAACATAACATGTTCATAGTATGCTCACGTTAAATACTGCAACTATCGTACTTGCTGAGATCCCATATCTCTAGTTGGATTGTGGCCACGGTGGTTTACCATTTCACTGTTTAATGACTTTAGCAAACGCAATTTTCTGGACCAAAATTTTTTTTTATAAGATTATTTTTGTAATAAATAAATAGTTGTAAATATATATAAATTATATTTACATATTTATTTGCAATGATCGATTTAAATTAAAATATAGGGTTATTTTAATAATAGGAAAATTAATATATATATATATATATATAGATTATTGAAAGACACAAACAATTATGAAAATTGTGTGTATGAATAAAGATAAAAAGGAATATAGTTTAAGATGATTGAGCCGTAAATTTTTTGGGCAACTGATGGAGTAACGTGCAAATTGTATATATAAAAGTAGAAACTGATAGAATATTAAGGATATTTGATAGTCTAGTCTCACTCTATTCTAATTTATAACACTGGAGCAAATAAATCAAATAAAATAAGCTCATTGATCAACATAACATCAACATAATACTAGGTTATGAAATTTATTCAAAAGTGGAAGGTATTTAATTTTAAAGTAATGAATAGCATACATTTAAGTGTGTGTTTGATTTATCATTTACCATGTATCATGTGGATAATCACTCATTTTTATATTAAAATGGAGAAGTAATTCTTTTGTTTTAATAAATGGAGTGAATAAACTCTTTTATTTCAATGAATAGAGTGAATGTTCATTATATTCAATTTAACTTTTTTATAAATACGCTCTAATTATTTCTTACCTAACATTTTTAGAATGTAATTACTAATTAGAATGCATTATATACTATTATTTAATCATTTATTGACTTTTATGAGAACTATTTTTTCTAAGAATACTATATAATAATTATTTTAAGAATATTATATAATAGTGATTTTTTGATTAATAGACAATATAATTCACTTATTATATTAAAAAAGCTACATTTTAAGTCACTCATTAAATATAAATAAAATAAAACTATCAAATTAGTGAATTAACTCACACGAAATTATTCTATTTTAATAGTTTTGGATTTAAGTCTTAAATATGTATTTATTAGGTGTTCAATGGTGTATGATTTAATATTCATGTGATGAAATTAAGTTTAATATAATTAATTTTAAGCTATTGAGCACAATTATCATGTCTTCAAAATATTATACAAGAGTTGGATTAATATTTATAAGATTGAGAGTTCAGAATCTTCCTGTCACTATCGTAATATCTATCGATAAAACAACATATTTATAATATTGTACATTAATATGTGTTACATCGAGAAGAAATTATTTTTATAGTTTATCAAGCAGACACTCAATTAGGTTGTGTTTGGATTGAAGGATGGATTTGGGAGAGTGGAAAAGAAAAGATTTGAAGAGAAAGAGAGTTGAAAGTGAGGTTGTTTGAATTAAGGGAAAGATAGTGAAAAATGAGTGGAAAGTTTGTGAGAATTTGTGTAGAAATTGATTGATGTGATAGATAAAAATTAAAAATTTAATAGATGAATATGTAATTTACACTTTTACCCTTGGATTAAAAATGAGTAGAATATTATTTAGTGTAAATAATAATAATTACAATAAAATTATATTAATAGGTATAATTTATTAAAAAAATAATAAATAATGATAATAATAATAATAAATATTAGAAAAATAATAAGAATCATAATAAATGATAATGATAGTAGGGATGACAAATGTACCCGTACTCGCGGGTAATACCCGAACCCGTCCAGACTTTGACGGGGAATACCCGGTTTAACCGGGTACGGG